AGGCTCAAGTCATCAGATTTGGACATTGCCAGTCCCATGGATAACCCACTACTATTGTGGACTACTGGACTGTACTGGAATATTTTGCTGAATGGATGCACCTACAATATTTGGATGGCAATGAAATGCCCATCTCTGACAAAACTGAACGAAAAAGATGATATAAATGAAGGACAATTTTGTATCTGTATATACAAAATAGTTAGGATATATATAGCTACTTTTCCTGATTCAATAAGAAGATCTGTACTAATGTTTGGACAGGATATCATGTCTGCATCTTGTGCTATGAATGACTACTATACAGACAATAATATGCAATGTATTAATTGTTGTAACTCTCCTACCAACCTGTTTTGAAGCTGTAACATTGCAATTTTTTTCTCAATAAAATTAATAATAAAAAAAGAATTTTACCAGATGGAAAACTACCAAACAATAAATAAAATTTAACAAAATGCAATTACTGAATGATTCATCTGAATCATCTGGATGATTCTCCAGTGAATTACAGTGCACTGAGTGGGAAGAAGTCACATAATACCTAATTCCACTAATAGAACATTCTTTAAATAAAATTATGATAGATACACAAGCAGATGCCTGGGGTTAAGTAACGAAGGTGGGAGGGAAGAGGCGTGCTCATAAAAGGGTGATCTAAGGATCCTTTGTTGGGGATCCTTGCAGTGACACAACTGTTCAGTTCCTGGACCTTATCAATGTCAAAGATCTGTTCCTGTCCAGAGTACTACTGGTTTCCCAGACGTAACCACTGTGGGAAAATGGACACAGGGTACAACATTATACAGGTTACTCAATATCACTTCTTATGACTGCACATAAGTGCAGTGATCTCAAAATTAAAAGTTATGGTTTGTGGTCCCCAAAACCCCATGCAGTCATTGGGGCACCTTTCTAGAGTTTGTAATTAATTCACCATGCAATGCTGGGATTATGGGTGTGAGTGCTACACCTACCCTGGAGTGGATTGCCTGGATACAACGTGAGGAAGGAAGAGGTGGTTAGCTAGCTGCTGCAGCTGCTGCTCCTCCCTTTGCTCTTTGCTGTCTTCCACTGCCATAAACTGCTGTCCTCTGCCAAGTGCCACTCTACTTTGGAGCGAGCAGAGTACAGCCTGAAACCTCCATTAACTGTGAGCTAAATAACCTTTCCTTCCTCAGTTTTAGGCGTCAGGTATTTGGTCACAGAAATGAGAGAAAAGTAACTGAGACAAAATTTAATTAAAAAATATTTCCCTTCAGAAAGAATGTAGACCTCACACATTCTTCAAATGCATTCTTTTTTATTTGAGGACAATCTCAAGACAGTGCCCTTTGGGAAAGAGCTTGCTCACCTTCATATACATCAGGATCAACCATTACTCTCAGTAAAGTACAAAAATACACACATCAGTGGCTTCCGTACAATAAATACATAGTCATGCATCCCACAATAAAAGGCACCGAAAACTGGTCACTTAGTAGTCATAAAAATTACTAGCTACTTAACAAAGCCACCCAAATTATCTGTACAGGAATGTAACAATATATTCCAAAGGTGAAAACACATAAAACATCTTTAAAATAGTATGCAATAAATATCTCAATTTTTGTATATATTTTAAAAATTATGCCATTGTAAACAACATGTAAACAAACAAAACTCATGTTGTCTTATCATTATTAAAATAATTAGAGCCAAAGTTATAACCTCTGGTCTGTCAGGTATATTTCACTGGCAAATGTGCTAAGCAGTTAAAAGTTTCACTCTTTTCTGCAGCAAACAGAGCCCACGGTGTAATAAATAGACATTATCTGCATCTTTCAGATACAAGTGCTGTAGTTTCAAAACAGACTACCAAAATGTAGTAAATTCTTACCTATAAATATGGCAAGGCTAAGTTAAAACTATCTTTTGCAATATAGGGAAGAGAAAGAACTGTAGTGTTAGGTTTCCAGCGGAATAAACAATTTCTGATTATCTTTATTAAAAAATTAAATGCATGTATTATAGAAGGGTAAAGTGTTCAGCTTTCTGCGTGGTCCTTTTACAAAGTTAACAAAGATCAAATTAAGAATTTTATTTTTCTAGAAAATACAGAATGGCTGCCACTTTATAGTGAGGAGAATCACTAGACTTTAAAATATGCCTATCAGAGCCGGGGAGGGGGAGGGCAGGGATGGGGCAAGCTCAGTGGCACAGTGCCTGCCTGGCAAAAAATGAAACAAAACAACAACAACAAAAAACCCTATCAAAATGTGAATTCATAAAGTGTAGTTTTCCTATACTTACTGATATTAAAGGACAATTTTTTTTCTTCTCAGAAAGGGATCCTACACCCTAACCATCAATAAGTATTCAGAGAAGGTAATTTTGTATCTCAAACATTTTTATTTTGTTTCGTCTATGTACACAGAGCCATACTACTTACTACACGCTTAGAGAAGCATGCTGGTAACTTTGTTACAACCTACCCCCATCAAAGAAGAAGTGAAAACACCAACGTCAGACAGAGACTTAGAAATCTCCTGGGAAGCCTTTCTTTATAACCACTTTCCTCTCCTGTGCATCTGCAATATGTACCTTTGGCATATTTTGGAGTATGCGGAGTATGCACTATTCTTTCACTTGGATCACATGTATCACCTATAGTTGTGAAAATACCATTCTACAGGACTGACAAAACACATACCTGCTAGGAGACAGTCAACATTATCTGTGGCCAACATGAAATGTGGACATAAAAGTGCAACTGCTCCTCTACGGCACACAAAGTTGTGATCTAGGGGTGGGGGATGGAAGGAGACTCTCCCTGAAATAACCCAGGAACAGTTTCCTAAAAGTTCTAACTTTTTCAACACACAGAAGAATGATTGTGAAGGAAAGCCATATTTTGTTTTATTCGAATCATATACATCTAATTAAGTGCCAAGTATAGAGAAGGTAATGTCTATCAAGTAAGGGAGAGAACATTTCACTTAGTTACATATATTTTAACTAGTACTTAAGAGATTTGTGTGAGAAAGGCTTTATACTCATAAGAGAAAAAGAGGCTTACAGGTATTGGTTTGTAGCCTTTATATTCTGTAAGTAAACCTTCTTATATTTATAATCATTAACTACAAGGGACCTGAAATCACACAAATCTAGGCCTATCTATATCTTAATGGTTGAATATTACTTTAAAAAAATTGCCTTTGGGCTGGGGAGATAACTCAGAGGCATAATCACCTACTTGGCAAGCACAAGGTCCCAAGCTGGATTCCTGCTACCGTTCCCACTACCACACGCCCTGCAGGCCCTGAAACCGGGTGTGGTGGCACTCACTTATACTCTTAGCACCTGGGAGGTTGAGACAGTAGTAGTTTGGGATCAGCCTATAGGTTACAAAAGTGAGCATAGGGCGAGCTGCAAATGCGTAGCAGCAAGAGCCTGTCCCAAAAATACCCCCCCAAAACAAACCAAAACAAACCCCCCCTTCAATATTGACTATTTTTTTAGTCTTATTGTATATACATAATATATGTGCTGTTTATGAAAACTATGCACTGAATATCAAACAAAAATCTTTAGGAAACATTTATGAATTTTGAACAATTGGTGAAAAAATGTTAACTTTTTAAATAAATGTATTTAGTATAATAGCATTAACAAGGTCTCACTACACAGATTGGACTCATAGTGATCCCCATTTTCAGCCTCCCACGCACTGGGATTATAGGCACGTGACACCATGCCCAGTCTCAGTCCCCTCTCAGCACGCCCCAGGGGTGGGGCTCTGGGTCTGCCTAAGCAGGCACTTTAATCTGCTGAGCTACCTGCCTGGCCCTACATGCTAAAAAATTAAGAATTTATATTTGGTTAATTATTGCTGATGTACAGCAAATGATTATGCTTCATAAAACCAGGGCTCTACCCTGTTTCTCTTCTTCTTTTTCCCTGAGATACCAGGGACTGAACTTGGGACCTTGCTCTTGCCAGGGAGGCACTTACGCCACTGAGCTATCTCCCAGGGTCTCTTTCCCTGCTTTTGTTTGTCCAGAGTACTTGCATGCTAATGAATACACACTCAATACTTAGAATTTTCAGGGAGTTCTAAGCTTTTATTTGTCAAAGTATAAAAATATAGAAAGAACAGAATTTTATTACCTTCATTCAGAAACATTTATCAAGATCCTATTATGTGCTAGGTAGATACTGGGCCATAAAAGTAGAAAAATTCAGTAGGACAGGCAGGGGTGTGCATCTGAAGATACGATGTTATTTTAGCATAAATATTTTTCTTTTTTCTTTTTTTTTTTGGAGCCAGGGTCTTGTTATGTAGTTCAGGCTGCCCTTGTACTTACTATGGAGCCCAGGCTGATGAACCTGCAGTAGCCCTCCTGCCTCTGCTTGCTGAGTGCTGGGATTGCAGGCATGTGCCACCAGGCCCAACTAACATAAAAATTACCAACATACTATGGACCACGGGTGAAACCCCTGCCCACGTATTATGCAGGGCTTCAGAGGAAATTACGCTGGCACTGAGTCTTAGATGAGTTGCGCACAGCATAGGACTGTGCCAAGGCACTCCCTTCCGAGTGGTTTCCAATTCTCGGATTATAGAAGGTCAGTGGTAAGCAAGGCTGCTATATGGTGAGAAAAGGCAGTCACAGGGATTCCTATCTGTTTTGCTAAGAGCTAGTTTGCTATTCAATAAAGAAAAAGGAGCCTACTTAGATTTTTAGCAGAGATGACAAAGAAAATTTGTGTGACAGACATTACAATAGGAAAACTATTTGCTGAAAAGCTATGGACAAAGCATAGGAGAGAAGTGTTAAAGATCTGTACTGGTAAACACCTAAACCAAGGAAATAAAATTATCAGTTTATTTCAGGTAATTAAAACATAACAAGAAATGCCAGTTCAGCTTTTGAAATGGTAAAAAATGAAAAATATGCAACTGCATACTGAGAAAAATCTGATACATAAAATGATTTTAAATTTGTACAATTCAAAACCAAGGTTTTATTAAACATTTGTTTTATCCCATACTTTATGAGTTTCTTAGCAGAATATGATTTATATAATACTGCTTTAAAACTGTGTCCCCTTTCAAAATCTTTCCAAGAAGAGAAAAATCAAAGAACTACTCAAGGTTGCAGCTTTATCCTCATCATGTATACCAAAACTCCGCCCTACAGCTGAATTCTGTAAACAGCTATGGCTCTAATAAAAATCATATTTAAATTTAATTTCTCTAAGGTCATCTCTATATCAGGTCATCATGAATTCCCAAGAAAATAATGTCCTGTCATTATATCAAATCATTCTGGAATAAACATTCAGAAATTTGTCATCATAAAAATTAAGTCGTGCCATTACAACAGAGAAAATATCCTGCTGATGAATTTGAATTCAGTCTGCTTCCTTGTGTCATATAACTTTATACTTTCTTATAATTCCAACACTTGATGGGGAAGGGAATGCTCCTGGAGCTCTGAATTATCTTGTGCTCTACTGTTGCATCAGATTTTACAAAGAAATCTTCAGGTCAAGACAGTAACCTGAACACAGTGACTAAATTCAACTGTCATGACAAAATGAAAGTCAACATTCATATTCACTTATATCTAATCAATTTAATTGAGTTTATTTAATTTCTAATTTGTGTCCAAAATTCCATTTAGTTTCTCCTGAGGGGCATTTCCTGAGTCCCTCCTACTCTGAGAAAAGTCAGCAGTCCTTATTCTAGTTCCAAGCCACTATTCAGGAAGGGCTCAGTAATGAACTGAGAAAGTGATACCACTGGAGAAAACAAATTAAGGAACTCTACATTCTTATTTTTGAAAATCACTATTTTAAAGAGGTATTTTTCCCTCTAGAAAATACAAAGATATGAGGACCCTAACTTAAAAAGTAACTTCATTCACTTTGTGAAATATTTTTGATGAGTTAGAAAAAACTGAAAAAATCTTAAGATTTTAGAAAGTGAATTTTTAGTCTATCCTAAAATAAATAACATGAAACTACAGCATGCATATAAAAATGCCCATGACCTATTCTAGTACAGATGATGGAATTTAACTTCCCTTTCTCTTGTATTTTTTATTTTTACCTGGTGCCAAGGATTGAACTGAGGCCCTGTACACCCTAGCCATGTGCTGTGCCACTGAGCTGCAGCCAGTCCTTAGCTTTCATTTATAGATATCTTTTTTTTTTTTTTTGCCTGATCAGCCCACCCTGAGGGTGGGGCTGGTGCAGCATACGGTGCTGGAGATCGAACTGCAGTCCTCTGTGCCTGCCTAAGCTTGCCTAAGCAGGTGCTTTAGACCGCTGAGCTATCTTGCCAGCCCAGCTTTCACTTATAAATGGAACATGAAGGAACTTTTAATTTTCATGCTATACCTGACAATGCTTTTTTTATCTCTAAAATGACAGTGTGAAAGAAACAGCAAATTTAAGTATGATTCACACATAGTTTCTTTTATGAAAAAAATTACCAAGTTATAATTGACAATATTGTACAGCATTTCTAAATGGAAAAAACTAAGATACCAGAATGTAGACTGCAGAAAGGAAACCATGAGCCACTGCTGAAGTTAGTTATGGAACCCAATAAGCCTGAACCATATCCCCATCTCCAGAATGACAAAATTGATCTTTTTAATGCAGCGTTTGTTTCTTTTTGTGGTACCAGGAATCCAACCCAGGACCTTGTGCTTACCAGGCAGGTACTTATGCTGCTGAGCTATCTCCCAGCCCAAAATTTATCTTTTTGGTAATTTTTTTTTTTGAAGTTCAAACCCCCCCCCCCCCCTTTTTTTGGTGGCACCAGGGATTAAACCCAGAACCTTTTTTTTTTTTTTTTTTTTAAATTATTTATTTATTTATGCACGTGCGTGTGTGTGTGTGTGTGTGTGTGTGTGGCCAGCTCAGCCCACCAGGGGGCGGGGCTGGCTGGCATGTGGTGCTGGGGGGTTGAACGGCGGTCCCTGTGCTTTGCTAAGCTTGTTTTAAGTAGGTGCTTTAGACCACTGAGCCATCTCACCAGCCCCTGAACTCAGAATCTTGAGCTTGCCAGGCAAGAACTTATACCACTGAGCTATTTCCCCAGCCCTCTTTTTGGTAAATATTGTACATTGTTATCATTTGCTTCAAATGGAAGGAAAATGCATCACTGCTGATACAATTCAAGGCTTAGCAAGTTCATGCAAATTGAACTTTGATTGGGAAAAAGATATGCCTAAGTATATAAACAGGATAATTTGGATAACTGTACTGCTGATTTCTGCGGGTCTTTTGAGAGGACTAGTTAATGTATAAAGTTTTTTTCTTCTTATTCTTATATATTTTAATTTCTTATAACTTTTTGTTATTTTTTTAAAACTGATTTTGCATGCTTGTATCTGGTAATCTAAACAACTAATTTGAAGATAACATTATACAATACAGCAACTGTTGTTGAATTCCTGTTACTTTGTTTAGTGAAATTTTGTATTGTTTCTAATGCTGTTTTTTTAAATTATCATTTTGTATTCTTTTAAAAAAACTCCCTTTGATCTCTATGGTTTGGTTTGCTATACATTCACCAGGCTTCTTTTATTTCAAAGGACTGGCTAAGTTCTTCCTGTAGCTAAACCGAAGAAGCAGAGACAACTGTCCCGTGCAATAATCCATCTTGCACGATGCACCCAATGTCTCGGATGATTAGGCCCAAGTGCATCTTTAACCGACCACGAAATTTCAACAGTAAATCGGCTCCCTGAATTCACTGCTTATTTTAAAAAGATCTAGACAAACTCAGACGTTACCATTGTACTCTTTTTTCATTTTGTTTCATGACATTGTGCTTAATATATCTCATATGTGCTTTTTGTTTCTATCAAGAGGTGAAAGATACCTAGTCTACATTCAAATTATTTTTCAAATCTGCCAAAATGCCAACTCAAATTCCTTTTCCCTGTAATTTCTGCACATTTCTCACTTCTTTTCATTTTTCCCACCAATTGCTTGTGGAACAGTAAAATATAAAAATTATTGTTAATTAGTTATTAATCTCCTAATATAATTTTTAAATACCTCACAATTAGTCTACTGGAAAACAGGGATTGTTAAGGTAATTTAATTTTTTGTTACATCACACTGCTTCACATTTAAGTTGGAAAAGCTTTTCTCCCCCCCTTATTCTGTGTGGTGTGTTACGCCATTAGGTTTTAAATTTGCAGGTTTTCAAACACTTAAATTGAGCATTATTTAAGAATGATTCAAGACTCAATTAAAATGTCATTGCTTTACCTGACAGAAACAAGTTAACTATTAGCCATCCTGGTTACTGTTTGTGTGAAATAGCCGAGTCAAATGCAAATATAAATATAAGTATAAATATGTCAGAACCAAGAGCTGGCTGTAAGAGGTATGTGCTATTTTTAAGGATTCTAGATTCTTAATGTTCACTTAAACATCATACTGGCAGTACAACTACAGAAACCTCTCTGCAGATTCATCACAGGAAAAAAGTTACCAAGTGAAGCCATATATTGGCAAAATGTATCACAATGAATCTTCTAGGTACAGTAAATTCTTAATATTGGTGATTTCTTTCCTTCTTGTAGATATGAAAATCATCTTTACAAAGCCCCTATAACTGTTCAGTTACCTATGCTAGTATGGAATATTTCTTTTTACAAGGAAAAAACTGGGCATCTGTTTGACAGAAATGAGTACTTCAAGTATGTAAGTAAATCATTAACAGAACTATTACATTCTAGGCAACAAGAGTAAAAAGGAAATGAGCCAGAATATGCATTTTGCATAAAGGTTAAATCTCACAATACAATAAATAAATGCACTGATTTATACAACTTGTGAAGACCTCCTATGAGGATAGGTAATACTGCCTACGAAAAACTACGATGAGGTCAGCACTGCCTGGCCTAGAGGTCAAAGGTAAAATTCCTGCTCATAAAAGCCACAAAATGTACAAAGCCTTTATATTTGTTTGTTATTAAACATTTTATCTGCCAAAAGATCTGCAAACTAAAATACAACTTGGCAGTCAGAATACCCAGCATGATAGTTATTTTGGTATAAAAAGATAAGAAACACTTTAATATGAAAATTAACAACACCAGAAAAGGAGAAACCTGTTTTATAAATAGACATGTTAACATAAAAGTGAGACTTTCATCTCTCAAGAGAAAGAAAAAATTTGATAATACTTACCCAAAGGTTTGAAAATAATTATATTTCCCAACTCTAGATAAATATATTACTCCAATTTACTAGTCATCTTCAATATACAACATATAACCCATAAAACAGGGAATATTACAATAACAAACCTTTCACAGCACTAGCTACCAGTTACCAGAACTGTAAGGAATTTTTATATATTAGCTTAATACTTAATAGTATAGAAACAGGTATGGCTAAGCTGTATGAAGTAGTAGTGCAATCAAACATTAAGGGCCACAGAACGTATTGTTTTTTCTTTTTAGCTTGTATATCAACTGCACTGTCCTCCTTTAACAGCAGTATCAACTGAGTATTATAGTCCTTTATTTTAATGCATTTTAAAAGTAACTATATGTAATGTTAGGTTTGGTTATTTTACATTTGAAATGCTGTAACCATGAAATGCCCAGACTATGAGTTTCTATATAGAATGAATAACTTGTAGCTAAAGTTAAAATACTTCGTGTGGTGTTTTTAAGTAGTGGCTTGGTTTGTATTTTCCAACTAAAACTTGGAAGTGAATAAAAAATTAGGAGAGTAGGTAAATAAATAAAACATCTTAGTTACACAAAAGGAATTGCTCAACTATTATATAATATGGAATTTATCCTACACATTGCTACTGAGTTAATGTAGTATCAGTTTTCTATTAAACTTCTTTCCCTGAAAATAACAGGAATAATTATACAAATAGGTACAGTCCAGCTGTCTCTGAGCTCTCTGTTCTCTTTAATGATAAACCTTTGTAATTTTTTTTCTAACACAAAAGTCCCTAAATAAAACTTGAAAAGATAAAGTGAAAACAGTAACAAAGAAAAAAGCGAATGCTTTGCTTTATATAAAAACCAATACCATGACCTTTATAAAGTTCTGGTTGCCTATTAGATTGCCTCCTTCCAGTTCAGCTTATTTCTAGGATTAGTGAGAGAACTCATAGGAACAGTGCCTTGAGGAACAAGCTGTTGGAGGAACCTATGAAGACCTCAATTCCTAATACCTAGGAAGCATAAAATGGATGTAGGCCAGTGCTAATTATCTGAAGAATCCCTTGCGAGGGAGAGTTTTAACTCCATATTCCTGGAGTGGACCTGAGATTCTGCATTTGTATAACCTCTCAGGTGACAAGCATGCTGCTGACCCATGCACATGTTGAGTAGCGATGGTATTTTAGATTAACGCTGTCCCACAGAAGTTTTGCAATGGAGGCAATGTTCTGTAACTGTAATACACTCTATAGCTGCTGTGGCAAGTGCAAGTGAGAAATGAAATTTCCATAGCCATAGGTGGTTGATGGCTATGATAGGAGACAGCATAGACCTAGACATTCATAAGTTACTGCTTCTCAGCCAGGGAAATATAAGTCACAGTCCCCAAATGATCTAATCCACTTTCACTTGGATTATCTAACAAGTATTTTATAACATGCAAGTATAAGTTTAATTTAAATGCTTTTCTTCCAAATGCTTAGCTTAAAGACCCCCTTAAGGTAGGAAGACACAAAGGGGGTCATTTTGTAGGTGGCAGTTGATGGGAAAGGACAGTAGAAGGCAGGGAGAATTTGAGCAGCTATTTATTACTGCACAGGGAGGGCATGTGGGAAAATGGAAAGGCAGGAAGCAGG